TAACCACGCCCACTTCCCATATAACGGTAATTTCCAGAAATACGAAAACTGCGATATTTTATTAACTACTGAACATAATTCACTCAAAATTGGTATTTACAATAATTTTTAGACGAAAAATAAGAATATTATACATTTTTGGAAAATGGGCGTAGCCACACCCACTTATGGTTACATGTGTATATCTTAGGAACCGCTGCAGCAATTTCTTCCAAACTTGGCACAGTTGTTGGCCTTCGCACAGCATACGGCCGAAAATTTTGAAAATCGGACAATAACCACGCCCACATCCCATATAACGGTAATTTAGAGAAATATAAAATCTTCGATAAATCAGTAAATATTGAAGCTAATTTATTCAAAATTGATGCTTGCAACAATTCTTTACCAAGAAATAAGTTTATGGTAAAATTTTGGAAAATGGGCGGGGCAATGCTCACTTATGATCACATATATGTATATCGGTAACCGTTCTACCAATTTGTACCAAGCTCGGTGTGGTTATTGTGCTTGCCACATGAAAGCAAAGAGTTGAAAATTATTGAAATCGGACGAAAATTACGGCCGCTTTTCAAATAACGGTAAATTTCAGAAATGCTTGAAACTTGAATATTTCGAAATTGAAGGACACTAATTTACTCAAAATTGATACACCTCGGCTTACCATCTAGCGGTAGGAAAGGGAAGGTGAAAAAACATATATTTAATGTTTGCGCCGGGTATTTAATGTTCGGCTCCGCCCGAACTTAGGCTTTCTTACTTGTTGGAATAAAAATTACACTCAAGATCGCACAATATTTTATCTTTAAAAGTTAGTTTATTCTGAAAGCACACCTCTTGCTAAGGTATCAAATTATACGTAATTGTTTGTAGAATACAATACATACTTAAAAAGTTATTAAAATTAAATGCTTCAAAACCTATACGCGAAAAACAGAAAATTGTGAAAATTGTGAAATGTGGAGTTACAGACTTTGAGTTACTTGCCATTTCGTTATTTTTTAATGCACACTTTTCTTACCTACTACATATGAAGTGTACGCATAAGTGCTAAATGCCCATTTAATTTCAAATCAGACTATGGTGTGCTTCAAAAGTTATGACATAATTAATTGTGCCCCTCTTAAAAATTACATAAAAAATTCACTTGTTTTCATTATTATTTTAAATTTAAACACCGATATTTCAAAAGTTATGCAGCAAATTGATCCAAATTTTTTTTGAGGCTTCAAGTATGCGTCAGTGAATTATATGCAAAAGCAACCAGCTTTATTTAGTTTACAACAGTGAAAATAAAGCTAAACAACACAAAGGTTACCTGTTTTTTAGATTTGCCCATATAACTACTTTCTAAAAAAGAAATGAAATTCTCTACATAATTAAAAATAAATTGTACATAATTTTAAAATTTCAATTTTACATCTGATTTTAGCAATATATCTGCAGAAGTGGAAAACATAAAAAAATAATAAAGAGCTTCCAAAAAAAAGTTACTGAGATTCTTCAGCTTCTTAAAAGTTCGATTGATATAACTGACACGTTGTACGAACCCTTACCTGGTTTCCCAAAGGAAACTTTGGAAGAATTCAAGAAATTGGAAGAAAAGGAAAACGAGGACGCCCGTAAAAAACTCGTAAGAATCATTTACACTTATAAATTATAAAAAAAAAAATACCTGTTATAATATATGAATGGTTTTAACTTATATACACACATACTTATGTATATGAATATATAATTCTTTTTTGCAGCACGATCATTTGCTACGCCTAGGAGGAAGTAAATTAAACGAATTTTTAAGTTGTGGTTTAAAGGCTGCAATGTCAGACGAGCATGTTTCAAAGTTTACTTGGCACACGCAAAAGGAGACCGAGCAGCTAGGAAATACGAGACTGTCCAAAATATTGTACCGTGAGTATGAAATGCTATTTCTAAGAAACTAATCAATTTACAGTGCTACGACTCCGCTCTCAATAAAATGTATATTAATCTATTTGTATATTGCTAAATTACGTATATAACAAATAGATGTTGTTTGTTACAAGGAATTATTGCTTTATTGTTGTATTTGTGGGTCGTACAAAACGCATGGGTTTAACTAACGCTGAATATCAAAAACCTTAAATAAAAGTACATGGGTAAAAGTACATGGGTAAAAATATGAAACATACATACGTACATAGGTTAAACGAGAGACCAGTTTTCACTGTTCATCTCAGCATTCTACTTGACTGCAATTGCTAGTGATCAGCTTTGCGCTGTTCATCTAAGTAATCACAGCACATACATACATACTGCAGACATACCCTGCAAAAAATGGGACTAATCCGGGATGACTCCGGGAGCAATCGCAAAGGAGCATGCGACTAATACCACTTTTTATCTCTTTATATGGAATGAACTGATCGCTTTTGTTCGAACATGTCCTATGAAGAGACTAATTTTTCACCTTTATACCCGAACTACTACTAGTCACTTTTAAAAAATAAAAATAAAAATTTGCGCCAGCTGCGATTCGAACCGAGGCGCTCAGTTTTGTTAGGCGAATACTCTCTCTATGTGCCATCGCCGCACATGAAATTTCATTTACTAAGTGCGCACATGTCATTAAATCGTTAATAGTACCCGTTAGAGATGAGGCGGGGAATAATTGATCTCCAATTATACCCGTAAGGGATGAGGCGAGACTAATTGATCTCCAATAGTACCCGTATGAGACTAGTTGCGGCTAATTAATGCCCAATTGTACCCGATTGAGAGGAATCTCGGAATACTCTCTTTAGATATTAGTCGCACAATTTTTTGCAGGGTACATACAGAGAATGTACCAATGCTATAGACCAGCTTTACGCTGTTCATCTAGTTAGCGGCACTTACAATGAAAGAGACTAAACAGTTATGATCACTTACCTCCTGAGCGGAGGCCTTAGACAAATGAGGGCGAAAGCTCAGAAGATTTGTCCCTTTTATAGGCCGAAAAGCTATGAATTGCATATTCTAACATAACGGTTGCCTTACAGCTCTTTGATCATTTTTGACAATTGAATGGTTGTACCCAATATTGTGCAATATTTCCCTACCCGCA